CTCTTGTTCTTCTCTCTCTCTCTCTCTCTCTCTCTCTCTCTCTCTCTCGCTTCTTTCGCATTTTGTCACTCAATTTCTCTCTTCCATTCTCTCAAATTACAATTTTTCGTCTTCACATACTTCTCGCTCTTACACTCTTTTTCTCCCGCTCTGTCGCTCGTTCTCGTTCTCTCTTTCTTTTAAACAGTTTCGCGGAAAGGGGTTCTTTTTTTCTCTGATCGCTTAAAAAGCTTAGATAACATTGGAGCATGACGATATTTGTTTCATTTTCACGTTTAATCACGAAATGATGGCCTTTGAGAGCGTCTCGTTGAAAAGTACATAAATAAAGTATGAGGCTTAATACTCATTTTGGCAATACGCTCATATATGAATTTGTATTCGTAATTAGTCGTCGGATGAGACCGTTTTAATTGGCAATAAGGATTATATTTGATCGGAAAAGAAATAATTAAAAAATGCCGCGCTCTTATGCGCCGTAATGACGCTACGAAAATGGAGGAACAATTGTCCAACCGCAAAATTTCGAGATTAAAGAGGTCACGCAAATAATCTTTATTCATTTCACAAAGTGAGAACCGGTTTCATCAGCGGCCCGAAAATTGATGCTGCACATTTGCGGCGTAAAGCGACATTTTCTACCGGAGAAACGATACGCAGATTAATTATTCATAATATATATATGATGAATTTCACTGCGCAGCGACTAATTAGAGCCCGGTTGACTCATAAATTTTGCCCCGTGACGAAATTAGATGCGACATTTCCGATGTTACGCGATGTAATTTTTGTCAACACGGAGGGAATTGGTAACCGAATTAATTTGTTCCCAATATGCGAGTCGCCCGATAAACAATACGGAGTGAAAATACAGAGAGATACCTGGAGACGCGCTCGAAGGCGAGGAAACACACAACTCAATGGTAGATATATATATATATATATATATATCTACAGCTGAATACAGCATCGCTTCGCGAATACAATTCTGACAAGCGTTTGCACACAATTAATAACGAAAACCTAACCGCGTATGTAGTATGTGTATCTGCATCTCTGTGAGTTTACTCATTATTCTCTAACAAGTTTTTTTTCCCTTTATCTATTATTAGGCCTTAACAATGTATTTTGCTTTAATTCGCTTAGACACTAGTCGTCAATTGACGGTGCTATTCGCTAAGTTGAGAAGCCTTAAGAAACCTTCGCTGTAACTACATTGATCGACAGGGCGGCGAGTCGCCGGGGCGCGACTCGTCCCTCCCCCCACCCCCCCTCCCTCCCCAGTTAATGATATGACACTTAATGAAAATGATATCGGGTGATATGCAGGTGCGATTTGGGGTGCCCACTCGTCGAGACTCGTCGTAACTCGCGGGGATTGAAAATCGCGGTCGCGGAAATATAATTACGTCGAATGATTCTTTCAGTGGATTTGCGCGACGTCTATCGGCGGAGAGCCAGCTCGCACTATTTTCACGAGCAAACTGGCCCCCTGGCATCGAACTGGATCGGGGTCATTGGAAAAATTTATGCGAAACTTCGCCGTCGTCTCGTCTCGACGAGAAGACACGCTCACGATAAAGCTCTCCGCGCTGTGTGCCCTGTATCCTGGGTTTTTTACCCGCGGCCAACGATGAACGCGTGTACCTCACGAAATATATGTATATGTATATGTATATAATATATAGAGAAACTTTTTTCACAATTCGAACGAATTACTCCCACGAGTGGGCGCGGGATTAGTCGAAAGTTAATCGTTAAATATTGCCAGTCCTAATACCTGCGATAATGTTCTCTCTCGTTACCGCTTGTAACAGCGTCGATTAATTAGAAGCTCATTATACTTCGGGATACTTCGGGAATGATTTACATCGAATACGTGCGATATGTAATACGTGTACGACATGTACGAGCTGCGCGATATATACGTATATTTGTGAAAATCATTTGGTGCACGTACCGAGCGCGATGATTCATGATGAGAATGAAACGTCGGAATTTCGATAGGCTTCGTCATTTTGTCGAACTCGAACGGGAATGGAAATATGCGATGTGAGAAACGCGATTATTTTCTTTCTTGCTTTTCGCGTAAATTAACCTGGCTCGCGCAAAATAACGAACGCAGCTTGTCGTCACGTGGCACGCGGCGCGTGTTGTAATGAACTTGTCGAAACTTTCATATAATAATTGACGTAGCTCGTTGACGAATTCAAGGGCAATGCTATGCGTGAGCCATGAGCGAGTGAAAATATTTGTGCATACGAAAAATTGCGCTTTTATACGACTCTCAAAGAGAGAGGGAACATCGCGATCGGGAGTTGATTGCATAGTCGCGGTGCGTAGAAAAGTTACGAGTCCTTGGAGTAGATTTCCCGCGGGTCCATATTCGGAAAAGGAATGGATCCGATTGTCACGTATACAACGAAAGTGCACGGATGTTGATGATTAATGGGAATGGAAATGGGACCGAGCTACAGGAAAGCTAATACGGCCCTAGGAAGAAAGCTGGCCCAGGAAAACAGCCGCATACCGTTTACGTATGCATACGATATGTACGTGCTTTTGCATAAAAGCCAATTCTGCACTGCGTCCCGGTACTATCATCAGCTTGCCGAGCTACGCAAACCGGCGTGTAAAAAAAAATATTATTTGCCGTAAACGTTGAGTGCCGCTGTAACAATGAAACGTCACGAAAACCGTCGAAATTCCGAGTTTATGACGATATGTATGAATACAGCCATGATTTATGAATACGTTTCCATAACAATGTCATTAGAGTGGAACGATTATTATTAATAATAATTTTATAATAGTAATGATAATTATTTAAAATTAATAGTAAAAATTTTCATATGATGAAAAAAAATTACCAAGAAGGCAATAGAACCGGATTTCCTTGAAAGTCCGCCTCGCGTGCGGATCTCAAGGATGGACGATCACGTCGATAAATCAATCCGAGTTAACCGATTCCTCGTAAGGTGATACGTGAGTAAATTCCCGCAAGTGGCTCGACGTTAGTCTAAAACTGAAAATGGCCGCAGGTAACCAGAGGCATTCGCCTGACGTGTGTCTCTATGTATTATGTGTTTGTGTGCGGGCGCGTGTAACTTTGTGGTAATATGAACACCGTGTAGCGATGCGTGTGGTCGTATATGCATATGTAATTTCTGCGAATGATATGTCGAGCACTGTATGTGTGATGGTGGTAGCATGGTGTGCGCCTAACTGTGCCAGCGCCAAGTTGTAGACCGGGACTGCGTGGCAACCTAATCCCACGTTCTCCTAATCATCCCACAGCTCACCGCGATTTATCTTTAAACTTCCGCTCC